AATCATTGCAAGGTGTCATTGCAAGGAATCATCATCATGAAAATCATTGCAAGGTGTCATTGCAAGGAATCATCATCATGAAAGTCATTGCAAGGCGTCATTGCAAGGAATCATCATCATGAAAGTCATTGCAAGGAGTCATTGCAAGGAGTCATTGCAAGGAGTCATGAGAGTCATTGCAAGTTGCAAGGAGCCAAGTGCATGGACTCAAGTGCAAGTTGCAAGTGCATGGAGTCAAGTGCAAGTTGCAAGTGCAATTGACTTGCGAGGAGTTAAAATCTCTTCTTAGGGCGGCGGAGTAGTGCCGACGACACTCTACAAAAATCGACCCTCTGCGGGGATTGGCGTAGTCGAGGTGCAAAAACTCGAGGTTTTTTTGCGTTTTGTTTTGGCTCGTGCGACCCTCTGCGGGGATTGGCATGGTCGAGGTGCAAAACTCGAGGTTTTTTGCGATATTGATTTGGCTCGCGCGACCCTCTGCGGGGATCGGCGTGGTCGAGAGTGCAAAACCTCGAGGTTTTTGCGATTTTGTTTTGGCTCGCGCGACCCTCTGCGGGGATCGGCGTGGTCGAGGTGCAAAAACTCGAGGTTTTTGCGATTTTGCTTTGGCTCGCGCGACCCTCTGCGGGGATCGGCGTGGTCGAGGCGCAAAACCTCGAGGTTTTTACGATTTTGTTTTGGCTCGCGCGACCCTTTGCGGGGATCGGCGTGGTCGAGGTGCAAAACCTCGAGGTTTTTTTTGCGATTTTGCTTTGGCTCGCGCGACCCTCTGCGGGGATCGGCGTGGTCGAGGTGCAAAAACTCGAGGTTTTTGCAATTATGTTTTGGCTCGCGTGACCCTTTGCGGGGATCGGCGTGGTCGAGGTGCAAAAACTCAAGGTTTTCTGCGATTTTGTTTTGGCCCGCGCGACCCTCTGCGGGGATCTGCGTGGTCGAGGTGCAAAACCTCGAGGTTTTTTGCGATGTTGTTTTGGCTCGCGCGACCCTCTGCGGGGATCGGCGTGGTCGAGGTGCAAAAACTCAAGGTTTTTTGCGACTTTTGTTGTTCGAACTGGTCCTCGGGAGTTGTCTCGTGGTTCGCGCGCCTGCCCCGGGACCGGTGAATCGCGGGTTCGATTCCCCCCTGGCCCGCGGGCGGGCTTCGCAAGCTGCACGGAGCAACTTGCGCAGAGCAACTTGCGCAGACCATCCAACCGGGCAGGGATTGCTTCCGACTCTCCAGGCGTCTGTGGCGCGGCAGGGGGGCCCAGCAAAACAAACCGAAGGTCATCCAAGAAGCTTCCTTTCAAACAGCATGGGTCCCATGGGATCCCTCCACTTCCTCTTGTTTGCACCTTCAAAAGTGGCAATGTTAGTTGAAAACCACCAGTCCATTGCAACTTGTGAAGGGGAAATCCGGCGACCCCTGGTCATACAACAGATAGATCGATTCATGGCGAATAGCTTATTGTTCGGCGCCAAAAGCAGAAATGGCAGCAAAGCACCTGGCCCCGAAGGTGCTTCCAGCAGCGAGGATGCTTCCGGTTGCAGTCGCTGGCCAGTCAGGGGAACTGGGGTAGCACATGTCTAAGAGTTTCGCGTTTCTAGAAGGACCAACTGTTGCAAGCGCACTAGTTCAAACAGTTGCCCCTGGAATGGAATTTGACTGCAACCATTGGAGCGGATCATGAACAGCAGCCATGAGACAATTGATCTTGTATTGAGCCATATTGTTTCTACTCAACTAACCACGCCCAACACTCAGCTCAGCAAGTTTGCTTTTGGTGTTCTTGAGGCGGACACCTCAGCGGAACCACAAGGAAAACCACCATTTCCCCGCCCGTCCCTTCATATACACCAGGTCCAGGTCCGAAAGCGATGTGCCCCAAAAGAAGGCGCGAGAGAATTGTGGGTCGTGGGCTGGGACGGTCCCCAGTTTCTCGCTGGTCTCCAATATATCAAATGGGTGTACATGGGGTGATATTGCTTATGTCGGCTTTTAGGGCAACCACCCAAAATGGGTGTTTTCCTTTTGCCTTCCCCTCAAACGAACCCCAAGCCAGTCTTGACGCAGATTCGCACCATGCGCTGCCTGTTTTATGTACATGTGTGTATGTGTGTGTGTGTGTATTTTTGGGGGGTTGTCAATCGAGCGAGTGACCATGCATGAAAAATTCTGTACTTGGAAGTCCAAGTATTCCCAATTTCGGAATTATCGTACCAAATTGCAGATGTGCGTGCCAGGTGTTGTTGTTTGCACCTTTGTTGAGGTTTGGGAAGCAAAGAGGAGCCCGGTCAACTGGACGAGCAAGCCCATGTTTGATTTTGTTGAACCGGTGTTACCTTAGAAATGGCTCAACCCTTGGCTCTTGCTTGGCAACCGCCGAGCAAAGTTGGGTAGCCCAGTAGACAGCATCCAAATCTGGCGCTTTGCCCCGATTCGCCCAGGCTCAGCACTCCCTGAGTTCCTGGACTTTACTTTTTGGGAAGAACATCTTAGTTTGTTTTTCCAAAAAAAAAGTTCCAGTTGACTTGCTTTTGGCCAATCCATTCGAGAAGTGAGTTGTCCCTTCATCCATTCCAACTGGTGCGCAGCGGCGTGATTTTGTCGAGCCTTAAGTACTTGGGGTCCTTGTCTGATACCATCGGAAGCCAAATGGCAGTGGATCAAAACCAATACCATGTTGGGCTAGGTGAATTCACCACCCATGTTAGAGCCTATTTTAGTGGTTGGATTGGGATGTTCACTGGGGGTACGATTGGGATTTCGACCCACAGCCAAATGGGTAGCGTGGATCTTCCCTTCGATTCCCCGACTCCGCAGGCGGCAACATCTGGAGCTTCAGGACCGGCCGCGCACAGTACCATCGGGCACCTCGGTGAAATCCACTGGCCCTTTGGTGTAAAAAATCTAGGTCCCCCAGCTAGGTGCCCTTTTACCGTTTCTTTTTTGGGGGAGAGGGTTCCCCTACTAAAAAACAGACTACAGAAAAATGAAAAAATGGTATTTCCCTTGTGCAGGATGAACACATCTTGAGGTCAAACCCATATCCTGCACAAGTGTCCAGCCGGGTTACAAGATCACCCATCATCTTCGCATCTGGCGAGCTTGCCGGTTCCTTAGGTTTTGGCTGTTGAGGTTGGTTCCGTTGGTTCCATTTAACCCACAAAAAAATGGGGTTAAACTCGCTTTTTTCGCAGAATAGAAAACGGCCAGCCCAGTGAAGCATAGCAACCAGCAAGCGGATACCGCGTTGTTTTCTGTCCGTGCATTCTAATCAACGTATTTGGAAGCCGAGGGACCCCAAAAAACAAGTGTTTGCGGGTTTCCCCTATTTTAAGGCGCACTCAGGTTGCATGTCAACTGGTTGACATGCAACCTTCTGGTAGCCTGCTGAGGACCAAAAGTGGGAGCCGAAGCATGTCAACGTGCCTTCAAGTTTGCGCGATCAAGCAGTACATATTTAGCCTCCCCCCAAGACCCACTGAAGCGGATCCTTCAGACTGGTCAACTGTGTCCTTCAGAGCGGCCAGAAAGGAATTCCCATTTCAATTACGCTGATTGATCAGAAGGGACGACCAGCTTGTCATTCTTACTAGGCCATCTTTCAATTCCAAGTAGAGTCACTTGGAAAATATGATCTGAAAGAAGAGTTCGAATTAAGCTCCAATGAAAATCCTGATTGGAAAAGAGTTCCTTTCTAGAAGCCAATTCAAAGTCAAAAAAGTTTATAGTACTATTAAAATCCTGCTTGGAAAGGAGATCATAGTTAAAAGCTAAGTTCAAATAATTCCAATTTTGCCGTGAAAGTCCTACTTAAACTTAAAGCCTTGCATTTCTATAACTTGCAAACCAATAGGCTGAAATTGCATTTTCCTCGGTCTTTCAGTTTGTCACTCCTTGTACGGGGCAGGCAAATTAGAAGATACAACCAGCTTGTCTTTCCTCACTAGATTCCATTTGAACTATTTGGAAATTACCAGCTTGTCTTTCTTCACTGGATTCTATTCAATTCAAGTTAAAATCTGACTTGGAATGTGTTTCATATATAGTTTAAAGTAGCTAGAAGAACCAACCACTTGTTTCTCCTCACTAGGTTCTATTTGAGCTCCAGTTAGATTCCAATGAGAATCGCATTTGGAAAATAACTCATATTTAAGTCTACTTGAACAACATAATGTGATCGAATTCCAATTTAAGCCTACTTGCAGTTCAAGCCTTGCAATTTAAGGCTTGCAATCCAATCGAACTGTAATTGCATTGTTTGTGGATGTCTCTTGATTTGTCACTCCTTTTCAGGGGCATGCAAATTCCTGGAAGGCGTGAGGACAAGCTTGCAGTGGATAGCCGTCTCCCCAAAACCCAAAACAAAAAAAGCAAGAAACCAGGGTCATCCAGAAGAAGAAGCAGAAGAAGAAGAAAATCCAGAAAACTAGGGTCATCTGTTGTGCTTTGGGTGGCTTGTTCGGGTGGCTAAAAGCGGTCCTTGGTGTTCCAGAGCCCCGGCACCAACACGGCGACGGGGCTGCGCCATCCGCAACCACCCGTCCGAAACCCCCCCCTTAAACCTTCCCCGCGCCAACCAATGAAACCAACTAGACCAACCACAAAGCCACCCTGAACCCTAACCCTGCCCTGAACCATGAATCGAGCGTACACCAAGCTTCTGCCGGCCCTACAACGCACCCTAAGCCTTTCAGCAATTGGTAAGAGGAATGGCCGGGCACGTCTTGGATTTCGTGCAGTCGGAAAGCTTGAAACTGTGGGGTTGGGGTTTACTGGCGGGGAACCCGTGGACCAAAGCTTCCAGCGGACTACACATTTCCGTGTTCATTGAGATGTCAATCCCATTGCTTGACGCCTGAAGCCTCTTGCCATGTGCATTCCAAGGGTTGTCTCAAGGCCATGAAGCCAGCCCCGCGCTTCACGTGTGAAGTCGCAAGCTCGTTTCCAGGTTGAAAGTCAGGAAGGCTTGGGAGGGCTTCTGGAAAAAACATATGGCTTTGGACCCCCTGGGTTGATGGATATCAAGACCCAGGCGAAAACATGCAACTGGCCAAAAGTTTGAAAGCACTGCTTCTGTGCTGAGAAGATGAGAAGCCCCACCTTGGGCTACCCTCGGAACGGGTCCCCTTTGTAGTGGCTGTCCAGTAGGGATAGCAAATCCTGGATCGGGCACTCCATCTTGACCAGGCCTGTCAGATTTTGATGTTTGCGACCCAAGCCCTAGGCTTCCCTCTCGGCCAACAGGAGAAGTTCCCTCCGCTGCGCTCGGGTCGCCCCGTGGGTGGTGCGACTGAGGCGCGGTGCCAGCTGGGGGGCGTGCTGGTGCGCTCTGGCAGCGTGCCCTGCCGCGCCCAGGCGCCAGCGCTTGGCGCGGGAGGGGGAGGGGAGGGGAGGGAGGTGGCCCCGGATGCGACCGAAAGGGAACGGTCACAAAACAGGGAACCGGTCACAAAACCCGAAATGGTAGGTTTTTAGGGTGGTAAGGAACGGTCCGGTACCTTGGCCGCTTTGGCAACGCTTTTGCCGGACTGGGATACTGCTTTCCCCTCCATCTTGACCCGGCGAAAACACATTTTTTGAGCCTTTTGGTTTTCCGGCTTTGGTCTGGCAAAATCTTAGCTCAGGGTTTCTAGCTCGCACCTTCCAGTTTTTCATAAGTGTGCCTATCCGCCTTGGCTTTTCAAGGGAGCCTTTGATGTCCGAGCTCCGGAAAGGCCCGAGCCGCAAAGCCCTAGGAGCAGGTTTCCGAAAGCATACGTTGCCCATTCAGCTTGGCTTCTGATGTCATGTTGGCTTGCATAGAATTCAAGCAAAGCCTACCGGTTTGGGCTTATCCCCTGTGGAGTTGGAAGCCGGGGAAGACGGCGGGGTTCCCGGGGAAGCCCGGCGCTTTCGATGGGCTCGGTAGAATGACAGGCCAGCAGACCACTCCTCAACCATGAGGCCATCAAGTTGCGACATATGGTTGGTTGAATTGCTGATCTGAAGCATGCAGGTGGGTGTTTTTTCCATGGGACCCACAACAGCTGGATTATCTTGTTGGCCTTTACAACCAACCCAAAGAGGGTCCCCCAAAAGAGAAATCCATGTGTTTTGGTCTAGTTCGAAGTGGAAACAATTCAAAAGACAGAGATCCGAATCATAGGCGCCGCCTTTGCTGTAGCAAGTCCCTTTTTGTAAGAATTCTGATGTCATTCTGAATCATGACAAAATGTCAGTACTCACCCAGAACATGAGTTATGCAGTTGTTTCTTTGTGCTGGTTGGTCAGTCCTTGCGTTGATGTTCAACCCTCAGAGCAACAAGTTCCCCAGCTCCATTCACTCAGACGAGCCTCTGGCATGAACCCCCCAGTCTTTCAATCCATTGATTAAGCTAAGCCATCATGAAGTTCCCTCCTGATGTTGTGGGAATAGGTATGGAGTTCCCAGGCAATCAAGTACTGCACCGTCGGCGCGAAGCTTCTCCGAGTTTCCAGCGCTCGTTTCAGGTCAGGCTCCTTGGATTAAACTGGTTCACCAGTTTGGTCAGACCCTTTCTTCCCCAAATCCATCGATCTGCCCAGGAAAGACGCTTCAGAAGAATCCTGAGACCTGGGTTTCGAGAGTTTCATCGCTTTCTCCCCAAGAGCACCACAAGGTGTCCCTCGGTTTTCTGAGAAGGAGTCTGCCCTTCCAGCTGTGCTCTTGGAATGAAGAGGGCGCTGGAATGCCTCACCTCTTCATTCCCGTGAGCCAACTTGGTGAGCAAACTTATTTGGGTGGTAAACCGAGAGTTGTTATCTGTGGGGCAAAAAACAAATGTGTTTTCTCCCCCCCCCCCCCCGGTTTTTTTTTTGTTTGTTTCCTCTTCTTCTTCTTCTTCTTCTTCTTGTCTGTTTCAGGGGCGGGGGCGTAGCTGGCAACTTTCGAGAGGCGGAGCAGCTGCTGGCTCGGCTGCGCCGCACGGCGCTGGAGACCCTGCCGCTGGAGCAGAGGCGGAAGCGGAAGCCGAAGCTCGGGGGGGGGGGGGGGGTTTACGGTTGGGTTGTTCCCCCGTGCAAGTCTAGGCCCTACTAAAGGTCCACCAACTGGCTTGATCTTGCTTGAAAAAAACGTGTCCATAGGGTTTTGTCCCCTAGGTTGGGTTTTGCGCCAAGAACTCAGTTCGCTGAGTTGGGCTCATATAACCACCTTCGTCCAAATTGGGTCCTTTCTATTCCTTTACCAGGTCCCCCAGCTAGGTGCCAACTTTTACTGTTTCTTTTTTGGGAAGAGGGTTCCACTAAAATAGACTACAGAAGAAAAGAAAAAGATGGCACCAACTTATTCTAGCTCTCTACTGGAGGACCTAGGCAAGTGGCGTGGGTCTCTCAAATTGTAGGGCTGGGGGGCGTGCAATCGGTTTTTTCTGGGGGTTCTTTTAAGCCAACCCCAAATAGGGTAGCCTCGGAAAAAGACACCCCGCCCCTTATTATGGGGGGTTGATCAATATTCCGTGAAAGACCCCCGAGTTTTGACCGTGGGTCACTTTCCCATGTGCTTGAAACCTCATCTTTGTGGTTTTCTCCAACGGTTGCCCCATGTAAAGGACTGATCAACCCCAGCATGGTCTGCATGGGTGTGCGTGTGAACAAACTGACTCGCTCTGTGTCAACAGTGGCGCGATGTCGGATAGCCCGGGCTGGCGCAAAGTTACGGCTCGAGTAGTACCCAGGCTTTGCCGGACATTACTGTCATGAAGTCCAACATTTTTTGCACATAGATTGCATGTCCAACAGTTGTTTTGTTCCGAGGTGTCTGAATTTGGAACTCATGGAGCCCACAGGACAATGTTCCGCTACACGACTTGAATCCACTTCAGAAAGCGGATCTGCAAGTTGTGAGTGGTGGCTAAGATTGCTGAAATTCAGCAGGGAATCGAGAAGGGTTTTGGGATTCAACCGGAAGGGCTTCTTTTGATGGATCAGTCCTGGGTCCTCTTCTCAGGGACCCTACTCAGGACCAGCAAGCCAGCGGCTTATCCACCAGTGTGTGGCAATGCTTCCGTCAAATTTCAGCCATCCTGCACGAGGGCAGCAGGTTTGGGTTTGTCAACCAATGTGCTTGGTGCATTTTACTTGGATGTTAAGACTTTGACTGTTTGCCAACTAATTGGGTTTTCCATTAAACCACAAAAAGTTAAACCTTTAGCAGAGCAGATTTCGCAACCAAGAATGTGCTTGGTTTTCCTATTGGAGGTGCGAAGTGGACCTTCACCGGCGGTAATTCTCGCAGGCTCGCAGCAGCAGCAGAGGCGCTCTGTGTGGAACGCGCGGAAGTCTCCTTCGTGGCACCTCGGCCTGGGCGGGCGGACGCCTGGGTTGCTTTGCCAGGTGGCTGTGGGTCAAAACCGTTTGGGTACCATTTTGGGGTAGGTGCACCACCCATTTTAGTCTATTTTAGTGGGGATTGGGATGTTTACCGGGGGTACGGGCTTTGACCCATGGCCTGGTTTCCCGGTTTGGGTTTGCTGGGGTCGGTATTTTGAGAGTTCTTTGCGGGTTTACCAAAATCAGCAACTGGAGGGCGCGAGCTTCTGAGTTGAAAAAAAGAAGAAGCAGAAATCGATTTTTCATTTGTTTTCTTGGGGCGTCTTCGAGACCGCAAGAAGACCCGAGCCACCCGCCGGCGGCGCCTCGCTTAGGTGACCTTGGACGCCCGGCGCTGGCTGGGCCGAAAAATCGAGTCCCCGACGCTGCGGAGTCTCGAGGAGACCTTGCACTGGAGGCGCGCTCGAAAACGCGGACGCGAGAAGCGAAGTCCGCGGCCCCCCCCCCAAGGTTTCGGGTGTGTAGTCTAGGTCCCCCAGCGAGTCGCGCCAACTTTTAACCGGTGTTTTTTTGGGGGGAGGAGGGTTCCCCTGCTAAAATAGAGTAAAGAGAGGGCTTCGTGTTTTATGTTTTTGTTTTTTTGGTTGGGGTGTCCGTTTATCCTTTGCAGTTAATTCAGTGGGGTGTCCAGGTATCGCGAAGTTGTGAAAAAGTTGATTAGCAGATTGTCTTGGTTTCTTGGTGGCCCCCAGCCGTCCAGTTCCTTGGCCTTTTAGTTCTTTGGGTTTAGTGGTAGTTTCCATTTAACCCACTCAAAGTGAAACTTTTAGCAGGGGATCTGAGGGCAGCCCGGGTTTGTAGTTGGCTCAGTGGGGTGTCCGCCAGGTCGTAACCCCACTTACCATACTTATTTGCACCCAAGGTGGGTAGCCGGGGTCACTACACACGTGGGCTTGGGTTTGCCATCAATGCCCCCACGGTGCCACAGCATTTAGCAAAACCAACGTTACAAACGCGCTCCTGCACAACTCTGTGCCTTCTCGCGCAAGCAGCCTACCATTGAGAGTCACTGCCTGGGTTTTGCCTCCAAATCAGCTTGGGACCTCGACAAATGGCGGGTTGCCGTTTGTGTTAAGCCAGCCCAAAGGGGGTACCCGCGACAAAGAGCACCTACATCTCCCGATTAAGCAGGACCTGCCCAAAGTGTTTGAACTCCGGACACGGTGTCGGATAATCTAGTTGTTCAACGCGCACTTCGACGAATTGATACTTCACTGTTTTGTTTACTCCACTTGATGCGTCACAGTTCCAGATGATTTATTCACTCCCAGTTCCCCAAACAAGAACTGGGCATTTCAATCCACAGCTTTGGTTGCGCCAGAGTTGTGTTTGTGAGGCGTCCTAGAAATTGCCGCAGTCAGGGGAAGAGTTGCGGATGCGACATTTCACGGGTATGGGTCCCGATGGTCTGTGAATCATTGCGAGGAAGACTCACTGGGTTTTCTACTTAAGACAAGTTTCGTTTTTTGGAACAGAGGTTGGTCACGATTGGCTCTCCTCAAGTGAAAGGAAGCAACTTGAGGGAGTCCCTTTGAGCCCAGATCTCCGCTCCCCGAGCGGACATGCGCAGCCAATACCTACAGACCTGAGAAAAGGGACGGCGATCCAGTTGAGGATTGCAATCAAGATATTTGACGCAAGGTGACCAACTGTTATAAGTCCACTGAATGTGAAAAGTAATTGGCGACATCTGAAGGCAATGGTCAAATGTTCCAACCATGGAGCCAGTTGCAGTTGGGGTCTAACTGCCACACGCCGTAAGAAGCTTTTCATTGTCAAACCAACCAGAAGACTTGCTTCCATTTGCAATTTCCGGCCTGGGAGCTTCCATGTTGAAGTGCAAAACAACCTTTTGGGAAAACTTCATGCCATAAGCTGTTCATTTGTTTATTACACCAACCTCTTGGCTCGCTGTGAGAAGGGCTTCGTCTTCGGCCTTCGCGGCGCCTCGCGAGCCGCTCGCGAGGCGTCGCGCGGATGAGGCGGAGGCCGCTGGCTGGCCTGGCGTGCGGGAGCTGTGGAATGCGCCTGGGGTGAAACTGGGGAAGGATTGGATCTATAGGTGTCCTTTTTAGGTGAGTTTGGTTGAAAATAAATGGCACTGGCTTAGATGGGGTTCATTCCATTTACCAGGGCCATCTATTTTTCCAAAAGGCCACCTATGATTGGACCCATTTGGTTCGAGAAAACCGGAAGCATGTGGTGAATCACAGGTGGATTGACCTTTGGCCATGGTTGCATTTGGTGTATTTGGTTGCTTGGTTGTGCGTTTGGCTCCCTTGGTCGGTTCTTGGTTTCTCTTGGTGTGTTTGTTTCTTGGTTTCTTGGTTTCTTGGTTTCTTGGTTTCTTCCTTGCAGCCCCAAACAATGTTTAAAAGCACATGGCCCCCTCTCGCAGTCAAGTCGGGACGAGCCTCGAAAACTTTCCGTTCACGGCTCATTTGTTGACCTTGAGTTCATGTGCTGTTACTTGAAAGGCTCGAGGGTTGAGGTCCTGCCGTGCAAATGGGCCGAGTTGGCGAAGGCCAGTTGCAGATGTTCGGGCCGCGCGCTGTGGGGCTCGCTTGCGCAAGTGTGCCCGAAGGCGCCTCTTTGGGTAGGAGCACCCCATCGGTTTCAACCTTCATCCGAAAAGGGTCCGGTTTTAAGCCCGTGCCAGGGACTGCTCCAAGCCTCTCCGAATCCGAAGTTAAATCGTCCAGTGGGAGGCCAAAGAGTTACAATTTTACTTCAACTACAGGAGGCTCTGACTCGCTGAGGACTGGCAATGCCTTTGCCGCCCCAAACAGCTCCAGCACCGTCGCCGCAGCGCCGGGGGGCCAGTTGGGGCATGGGACGCACGCGGGGCGCGGATTGGGCCAGCGGATTCCGATTTCCCCGATCTCCCGTGTGGGGAGACCCCCTTCAAAACCAAACCCAAAGAAGGAGCTCCCCAAAAACGGAAAGACACACCCCCACTTGTTCCTCTTGGTTTCCACTTGAAATCCCAAAACGAGCCTCGAAAATTCCGCACTGCGATTTGTGTTTGTTTGTTCGCGGACTTTTTTACCAGGGGCTCCCCCCCGCTTGTTTTCCCGCCTTTTCAAAGGCGGTGAACACCAGCCATGGGTCTCTTAAAGTAAGCAGATGTTGAAAAGAACACACCCGAGCGGCTAGCAGGATCGAAGTATGTCCGAAAGGGAGGTCCTGTTAAGGCTATGGTCGGACCATGTCAGTTTGTGTTTATGAGAATGTTCAGAAAAGTGTTGGTGTTCGAAGAAAATGCAATGGATATCCCTACCATTTGGAAGGTTCCTCTTTTTGGCCGTTGCCCCAAGAGAATTTTGATGCAGGACTATACCAGGTCGCGCCATTTTGATTTGGGACGTGTCGGAAACATCCGACTTACGTAGTGAGACGAGCGCATGACAAACTCGTGCATGAGGTGTCGAAGGTGGACGTATTTGAGTTTGAATATGTCTCGTGCTAGGCCAAGGTTCATTGGGTACTGGACCATCCGGGGAATAGAATAGGTCTCGCGTCGTATTTCAGCTTTGCCAATCAAACGATACGGAGAAGTGGCGAGCATATCTTTGCGAAGGGTCGATGAGTTTCCTCCCTGGCACACTGCTTCCTTTCCAGGCCCCTTCTCAAGTGAGGAATCCTTTCCTCTCACTCACGTGCCCCTAAGATACACCTGAAACACAGAGCACATTCCTCTCTGAGAGAGGAGAAAATTCTTCGGGCCTGTCCAATTCAATCAGTCCCCCTTATGCGCTCGGGCGGATTTGTTGCCTGGCCCCCTCAGACCTTTGCACCACACTTGCAAGTAGCTCCATCCGTGCAGTCCAGGCACTTCGAGCGGTTTCATACACAGCAAGTTGGGGGCATGTCAGATATGACGGCATCATAAAATAATGAGCATCATCCTCACCACAAGGCAGCAAACACCCAGCCAACCCTCCCCAACAGCCATCAGGACCGAAGCTGGTCCAACAAAAAAGCTGTTTGCCCAACAGGGCCTAGATAGTAGTTGATTCCCAAAACTCGCGGGCTTTAAAGCAGGCACAATCGAAACCAACATGTTGAATTCTCCGAGACAGCATCTCGGATTGGGGCAACCTAAGCGCCCCCCACCCCAAAAGGGCAACAGGTGTCTAAACCTGACCAAAAGTAATGGTTACCGGCTACCTAAATCTTAACCTTATCTAAAAGAACCGCCTGCATGTGTCTTTTTTTGGGTCCCCCCCTCTTTTTTGTGTGGTTTCAAAGATAAACCCAACAGTAAAGCCGAAAACTGCGCCCTGTTTTTGGGGGGTGCCGTTCCCGTATCTCCCTTTTTGAGCCACCCGGAACCGAACGAACACCACACGAGCAGAGGCCTCAGAACTGCAGCGCCTGCAGCATGCCGGCGACCTGGAAAACCAGCGCCGTGAGGCACGGATAAACCGCGCGATCGGGTTGAAGGCGTTTGGTGGTAAAACCCGGGGCCCCACGGGAAAATGGTGAGTGGACAATGATTTCGGGGGGGGGGGGGGGTTGGGAAGAGTATTTCCGACATTGCTCACATTGCTGACATGAAGGAAAAATGTGCCTCATTATTCTCCCTGCATCAAAGTCACCCCTAAAGTAGCTAAAGTGATGGGTTGGAGGAAACAACCCCAGTTTCTGACCTTGATAACCCCAGAAACAGTCAAAATAATGATTCCAGGGAAATGGTGAGTGGAGAAGAATTTGGGCGGGGGGGGAAGAGTATTTCTTTCATTGCCGACATGTTCCCAAATCCTAGGTTGGCAACTCATTGCAGAAACATGGCTCACGAAAAGTGTCTTCCTGCAAAAGAAGAATGTCTCCGACGAATGGTGGAAGCCCCCAAAGAAACAAACATACATTGTTCAAAAACGAGAAGTAATAAGTATGCAGTGTCCCTTGGCCCCACAAAATGGATGGTCAGGGATGGTCAGTTTTTCCCATTAAGTTTCCCCCTAAATTGAAACTAGCTGACGCACCAGCCCAGACTTTCTCGGTTGTGTTGGTTGCAAGTTTCGGGGAAACAACCAGCCCTCGGAAGAGAAACCACGCGGCTTGAACAATAGTTTCAAGGGTCAACAGCAGGCACGGTAAGAATCGGCCGGTGCAGGTTTTGTCATTAAGGTTGTCGGAACAGACCCTTCAAAGCACCCCACCTCTCGGCAGACAGGGTTGTGCCCATTTGGGGCTTTTTGGTCGCCTGGGGTTGAAGCCTAACGGAAGCCGCTGTCGAGATTCCATTTTGAGCCACAAAGCCCAAAGCTGGGACGTCTCCAGTCGTAGACAGGTGAGTCGGCGCTTCGAATATCACGCCATGAGTGTGATTCCGTGCCAACAGCCACGATTGCCCAAGAACTTCCCAGCAAAAATGTCCTTTCCACACTTCCCCAGCTTTTTCTTGTGACTGAACCTCTTTGCCTTGACTTCCACAGGCTTAGGCTTGCCATGTTGGAAGTCTCCCGAACCCCCCGCCTTCAACGCAAAAAGCCGCGAGAAAGGCGCGGCGGCCCTCGCTGCAAAGCGCCCAGCAGCAGGCGGAGCAGCTGCTGAGCCGCGCCATGGCAAGGCCCAGGCCGGCGTGCGATCGAGTTCTCGCCGCTCGAGTTCACGTCGCAACCGTTAGACAAGACAGAGATGTAGATAGACTGGAGACAGAAATGACGTAAAATAGAAAAGACGATGATAAAAAGGATAAAAAGGACACATGGAAGGACAGAACGGCCGGTCAGTGGGCGGCCGGGCGGTCAGCCCGGATGCCTCGAGCGTCTTTAGGCCTGATTTCTGGCTCGGATTTCTGATCATAGCAGCTGTGGTTTTTTTTGGGGGTTCGGGATTCGGGGTTTATTCGGGATATAATCACATGTCGGGATTTTATCGCATTTTCGGGATTCGCGATTTAACGGGATGAAAGTCACATATTTGGGGGTGCTTTTTCCAGACACTTTGCCACACGCAACTGAGCTCAACTGGCGATCCAGGTTTTCGGGCGTAGCATATTTCCGCCTGGAGCGTCCTTCGTTGCCTAAGCAAAGCTGCCCTGAGCCCAAAGGTGCAAATCCCCCCGGGTCGTCACCAAAATGTAGGAAAGGCGCACTTGTTTTTCCAGGTTTCGAGCGGTTCTCCCAAAACTGATCTGAGCGGTCCCCCAAGATCGGTCGCTAAAAGGAGCACGCAATCCAAGTGTAAAACGAGCGCAAGTATCCGCAAAACGAGTGCAAATACCGCAAACGAGCGCAAATGTTAAAAACGCTCGCCTTCCTCCGGATGGAAGAAGGGGATTTGATCGAGTTGTTTTTTTGTTTCTGGGGTCGGGCGTTTTTGGGTGGTCGAGCAGAAATCGGTATTTCGAGCGTTTTTCTTCGTACCTAAACAAAGGCACGTTGGGTGCTTCAGGCTGGATTAAATCACATGTTCGGGATTCGGGATTTTCGGAATTAAATCACATTTTCGGGATTCGGGATTGAATCACACTTTTGGGAGTAAGTCACGTTGTTTGATTCGAAATTTGGAGTTTTAATCATTTTGGTTTTACATTCGCATGTTTGGAATTCGGGATTTAATCACTTTTTCGGGATTAAAGCCAATTCGGGGTGTAATCACATCTTCTGGGATTCGGATTCGGCATTCACCTCGGATGTGAATTCTCGGACTTGGGACTTCGGATTCGGGATTCAGGATTCGGGATTGGGGGCTGGGAAGGCCCCAGCTTCGGGACTGAAAAGGGCATCCTCGGAGTCGGGATTCGGGGTGAACGTGGAAGGCCCAACTCGGGATTCGGGATTGACTGGGAGGCTTCTCCGGATCACGTCTCATTTGGTATGTTCCGTTGCTTGACTAGATACGGTGGGCTAAATCTCGGTTGCTTTTAAAACGAAACCTTCCAATTGCCGTAGCGGGTGTGTCACATCACTCACTGACTCACCCTTGGTCCAGGCACCGCCGACCCAAGCAAAAGCGAACTGGTTGAAGCTTGCGCAGTGTGAAGCTGTAATGTGCTGCAGCAAGGACCCCCATTAGTCATCATCGCTGCCCCTGTCCGAAGCCATTTCCGCACAACACAGCCCCGCGAGCTACACGATCGTCGTAAAGCCGCACGGCAGCCCCGCATAGATGCGACTCCCAAACATCAGAGATGTTTTCCCACCAAGAAGGTCCAACATTCAGGACATGTTGGCCACATCACACCAAAAACACGCAAGCCTACCCAACCATACTGAGAACAACACAAAACAGAAGCAAATTGAACACATGTATTTATGTATATGGATGTTCTTTCCGCATGACGCCCACACTCTGGCTCGCAAGAGAAGTCAACAGCTCGATACTTGGTAGCACTCCGCCATGCTGCAACCAGAGTTTCGTGAGCATTTGCTGTCAGATCGCGACACAACGAGAACACCCGTGCAGGTGACCGATGCCCTGAAGCCGTCCGCGCATGCATCGGCCAGCAGGCTTCTGGCCCCCGGCTGACTATGCTGGCGGCACACATTGTATCACAACGGCTCGCATTGACGGAACAGGCAGTAGCTGCGGCATCGGAAGCGGCAGCTTTGACTTGGCAATTTGAGGCAAAGCAGGGTCAAATAGCGCCTTAACCCAGCTGGGAATTTGATGCGGCGGCAGATCATTGGATGACTTTGCAGTGAACCAATGGGTTGACATCCGCGCAGCGCGCCAGATTGTGCCAGAATTTGCGCACAACTGGGGCATGCAGGTTGTGACTTTCCAGGCAAGCAAGCAAGGCTGGCGTGGCATAAACAGCTCAGCAGCATTGCAGGACTCCCCACACGGTTGCAACATCACTGAACCAAAAAATGCGCAACATTGGCTATGCGTTGAGGATCCCGCCTTCCCCAGTCGCGGGCCAAAAGGCTGTTCACGACCTCGCCACGCGGGACACTTTCCAGATACCGCGTTGCAAGCGGCAGCTTTGTCCTGGCACTTGGAGGCAAAGCACGGTCAAGCAACGGTTCACGCTGCGGGGAATTTGATGCAGCTGCAGGAGTTTGCAGTGAACAATTGCGCATATGCCATCTACAGCGCCAGCCAGTTTTACGCTGCAGCCACTCTGGTTGCCCTGAACACTGGAGGCATGTTACCTTCGCCGTCCCTCCACGGCACGCATGTGTTGGGCTTTCACACGTTGCCTCTTTTGCGGGCCTGCTCAGGGTTTGCCATCCGTGCCGGGCTCCTTTCCGTTTGAATGACATCATGCCCTTGGACCGTTGCGCCGTGAAATGATTGTGAGTGGTCGTAGGCATGGACATCCCATGTTTCCGGGCAGCATGTGAGAGACTGTGCCGGCAATTTTTCAGCCTGAACCCCGGAGCCCAGGAGTTTACTTGCAGCACGCAGATCCAGACACTGCCTGCGCAAGACGCAGAGCTGTGCGTTAAACCTCAGTCCGCATACTGGCTCTGAACATCGTAGCTGCTCCAGCGTTGCTGAGCTTGGCCAGTTTGCGACGAGTACTGACATGGGCAGGGCCTACTCTCAGTGCACGTGTCAGCTGGTGCAAAGAGCTCTGCAGCTCACCACTGTACTCTCAACAAAGTCGCATCACAGATGTCAGCTGCTTGCCCACGCTGCTGGGCTCCGTGAAAGACACAGTTTGGCCATTCAAAACATGACCTGTTCCACGAAAAGGAAATCGACGTTTTGGGGGGGCGAAGTTCAGATGGATAACCTTAAAGCCCCTTTTGAGGTGCTCTTTCTGTACATGCGTTAAGCCCTTCAAGTCACGCTGCGTGATAGCCTGCCGTCTCTTCCTGCGGAGTCCCAAGCCGCTGCAGCAGTGTGCCGGACGCACAGAGTGGAACCCCGAAGAGTCTCGCAGCATGCAGCGTGGCCTTTTTTTGATGGACCCACCATCAAAGATACAGTTCCGAATCTTAATGCAAGACCTGTTCCACCAAAAGGACAGCGCCGTTTTGGGCAATGTTCAGGTGAGCAATCAACACACCCACGACGACAAGGATTCTTCGGAAGGAATGGCTCAGGGCGCGGAAGCTCAGAAGCTTCCGCGGAGCATATCGCAAGTTTTGCGGCGGAAGCAAAACCCCAACCTTGTGGAAGCCCCACGGCTTGCAGCCCTATATGGCAATTGGTCATTTTAATGTGAGTCGCCAGGTGAAGTGAATAATCTTAAAGCACGGGTTGAGGTGCTCTAACTCTCAGCCATTAGCCCGCGGGGTCCCAAGCCTGCCTCGTGCCCGCGGCCACTCCTGTTTCCCTGGCTTTGGCGCGTTGCCTTTTTGGGCAGGCCTCTGATTCGTGCCGGGCACGGACTGAGCTCCTGAAAACTTTCACAGCACGGCGCCAAGGCTCCATAAAAGATTCGACTCGACCATTTACAGCATCAACTTTTACGCAACATAGGCAGATAGATCATCTTACGTTCCCTGTAGAAGTGCAAAGTGACAGGCTCCTTTCCCTTTGAATGACATCATGCGCTTTCAGTGTTTGGAGAGCCGTTGCGTGAGATTCTTGTGAGTGTTGGGGATGTCCACCCCACCTACTACAGGTCGTAGGCATGGACATCCCATGTCCCCGGGCAGCATGTGAGGCACACCGGCAAGTTCCACTCTGTCATGGTCAGCCCACTTCCTCAATTGCTGCAGCGCTGTTTCGAAGGACGCACGGAGTGAACCGCGGAGCCCAGGAGTTTACTCGCAACATGCCTGTCCAGGAACTGCCTGCTCAGGATGCAGAGCTGTGCATTTTATGTTCAATCAGTTTGTGTATTGGCGGGGTCACTCTCAGTGCACGTGTCAGCTGGTGCAAAGAGCTCTGCAGCTCACCACCGGACTCTCAACAAACTCGCATCACAGATGTCAGCTGCTTGCCGACGCTGCTGGGCTCCGTGAAAGATACAGTTCGGCCATTCAAAACATGACCTGTTCCACGAAAAGGAAATCGACTTTTTGGGGGGGCAAAGTTCAGATGGATAACCTTAAAGCCCCTTTTGAGGTGCTCTTTCTGTACATGCGTTAAGCCCTTCAAGTCACGCTGCGTGATAGCCTGCAGTCTCTTCGTGCGGAGTCCCAAGCCTGCCTTCGCTGCCAGTGGTCGCCCCACCAAAATCCCTGCCTTCTTTGGGTGCTGCGGGTTGGCGCACGCACAGAGTGGAAGCAGCGTGGCCTCTTTTTGGACGGCCCCATGAAAGATACGATTCCGGATCCATGAAGAGACCTAGTCTTGGGGCGCCAGAGTGGATTCTGCGGAAGGAAGTGAAGGTTGCTGCAGAAGCCCCACAGCTCGCAGATGTGACAATTTGTCCTTTTAATGGTTACCAGGTGGATAAGTGAATAATCTTAAAGCCCCTGTTGGGCTCGTTCTGTACAGCCATTAGGCAGCGTCTCTTCGGGCGGAGTCCCAAGCCAGAATTCGCTGCCAATGGCCCCGCCTTTCTGCCCCTGCTATCTTGGAGCGCTGCAAAAGATTTGGTTCCGGATCCTAAAGCATGACCTTTTTCCGCAGAAGGAAACCGCCATGTTGGCTGGCACGGGGCAATGTTCAGGTGGATAATCTCGAAGTCATCTGGAAGCCGCTGTTGAGGTGCTCTTTCTGTACCATCAAGCCCTTCAAGTCTAGCCTGCGTCTCGTACGGAATCCCACGCCAGCCCCACCTCTCTGCCCCTGCCTTCTTGGAGGAACCCCGAAGAGTTTCGCAGCGTGCAGTGTGGCCTTCTTTGAGGGCAGGAAAGATACGGTCCTGGATTTTAAAGTATGACCTGTTCTAGAAGCAAACCATATGGGGGGTAATGGTCAAGTGGATCTTTAAAGCCCCTGTTCAGGCGCTGCATGGCCTGCGGTCCCCTGAAATGGCCTTGGTTTTGTGGAGTCCCAAGCCAGCAGTGCAGCAGTGAAGCCCGGACGCACTGAGACCCCCGAGTCGAGGAGGTTCGCAGCACGCAGCGTGGCCCTTTTTTTGAAGGCGCCATGTAAAACGTGACCTGTTCCACTAGAAGGAAACCGGCATTTTGGGGCGGGTGGGTGGGAATCTTCGAAGCCCTTCAAGTCACACAGCGTGAAAGCCTGCGGTCTCTTCGTGCAGTGTCCCAAGCCTGCCTTGCGCCCGCGGCCACTCCGGTTGCCTTGAGCGCTGGAGGCATGTTACCTGCGCAATCCTGTGCGGCACGAGTGTTGGGCTTTCGCACGTTGCCTTTTTGGCAGGTCTGCTCAGGGTCTGCCATCCGTGCCGGGCTCCCGAGGAGTTTCGCAGCGTGGCGCCAGGGCAGTGACCTTTTTTGAGGGCTCCATGAAAGATATTGTTCGGCCATTTTCAGCGGTACCTTTTAAAAAGGCATGCAGATCATCTTACGCTCCCTGTACAAGTGCACAGTGGCAGCCGTTAAGCTCTTCACGCCACGCAGCGTGATAGCCTGCTGTCTCTACTTGCGCGGTTCCAAGGGAGCACGCGCGCGGTGTCCACTTGCAAAGTTCCAAAGGGAGCACACGCTGCCTCTGAGGAGGTCATGAGCCTTGAAGCATATTGTCATGCTTGCACCTATGCCCGATCCAGGCGGCAACGAACTTACTGAGCTCCGCAGTCAGCATCGTGCGATTGCCATCGGCGCCAGCCTGTTTCGCAGCCCTGGTTGCCCTCACTGGAGGCATGCTACCTGCTCCGTCGCACGTTGCCCTTTCGGAAGACCCTAAGCCATCCGTGCCGGGCTCCACTCCGTTTGAATGACATCATGCCCTTTAAGCATTGGGAGACGGTTGCGCCGTGAAATTCTTGTGTGGGGATGATCACCCCCCTTCAGATTCCACAGGTCGTAGGGATGGACATTCCTTAGTGCCACCCCGAACCCAGTCTGCCATGGGCAGCCCACGGCCCCCACCTTCTTCGATTGCAGCGATGATTCCAAGGACACACAGAGTGAACCGCGGAGCCCAGGAGTTTACTCGCAGCACGCAGAAACTGCCCCAGGACGAGCTGCGCACGTTGGCTTAGGGTTTGCCATCCGTGCCAGGCACCTTTCCCTTTGAATGACCTCATGCGCCGTGAAATTCTGAGTGTTGGAGATCTTCACCCCTACAGATTCTACAGGTAGGGATGGACATTCCATGCGCCAGGGCATGTGAGGCACTACTTTGCCAAGGACCGCCCACATCCCACGTTCTGCGATCGCTGCAGAGATGCTTCGCAGAGCTGTGCGTTCAACCTCAGGATGATCCTGTTCAATCTGCTTGCTGGCTCTGAACATCGTAGTAGCGTTTCTGAGCTTGGCCAGTTACCGACAGGTTCTGACATTCACGTGGCCGCTTCTCAGTGCTGAGTCGGAGCCTCGGCCGTGGTGAGTAGCCATCAGGTGATGTGCCATCTTGAGGGTTGTGGCTCGTGTTACTTTCCTTGGCCCGAATTGTCCTGATGCTTCACGTGTCGATCCTTACTCACTTCTACTGGGGCCCTTGGCTGTAAAAACTTGGCCAGCCTCTCGCAGAAAGAAGCTCCACTTCTGGCGACGCCAGGATTTTGCTTGGCTTGCCTCACGGAGCTTTCCTGTTTCTCACTTGCGCCAGCTAGAGGGGTTGAGCAGTTGGCTGCTAAACATGTCGTTGATGCCTGTCAGGCGAGGCTTCAAATCCGAACACAGTCACATGAGCCCTACTCACTGGATGCTGCCTGACTTTCGATCGCTTGCCGGCCACCCGTTGCCCGACACACGGTCCAGTGTCTGTCCGGACCCCTCTCAAGCTCAAGTTTCCCCAAAACAAAGGGCCTGAGAAGAAACGATTGCAATCCAGCCACTGCTTCAGCAAAGAGGCTAGTTGCGTGCCCACGCGCATGCTGGCGAGAATTGATTTCTTCCGCATTGCTGTCCAAGCTGCCTGTACCAAGTCCAGTACTTCTAGTGAGTTTGCTGATCCGGGAAGCACGGGGTAGTGTTCCTTGGCAGGCTTGCCACTACGACATTGTGCCGTTTTGAGACTAGTTCTGAGCCGCAAGTCCCGGCGGAAATGCCCTCGCACGCAGTCCAGACGTTGCAACTCCAAATGCGCCCCAGACACGTTGCAGAAATTGGTTGGATGCCGGCCGTATCCCAGAGGCATGTTCACTGTATTGCCTCGCACGCCTGCGCCCATTGTGAACGCACTCCAGAGCACGTCCTTGAGTTTGGTATCCCAAACTCATTGCAAGGCCTTGGTGACCTCCAAGATGTGTTGGCAGGTGTATGCCTTGCATGCGCTTGAATCGCAGATGCAGGCTGGGCGTCGCGTGCGGGCAGCCTGACATGTGTACATAATACCTTGCACTTGCGCGCAGCGGCCTTAGTATCCTGAGCCCTGTCGCCCTCCAATATTTGGCAAAGTGCTCGAGAGGTAGTAAAGCATTTCTGACAGTGTGCCAAGCGCTAGGGCGTGCAGCTCAGGCTCCGTGTAGGGTCTTTCGTGTGGAGCATTTACTTGTGCTTTGGCGACTTGCTGCAGTGTTTTGCGCAGCCCACAGGCTTGACCGCGTTCTGGGCATGTGCGTGCCCAAAGTTCGCGCATGGCCCGAGGAGTCGCGTTGCACGTCCTCAGCTTTCAGACGGCAGCTTTTGATAGACAAACCGTGCGGCGCAGTAAAACCTTCATTTCCTGTTCATTCGGGATTCCTTTTTTGTCATTGGCCACATGTTGTTTCGTCATGGGAAGTAGTTTTGACACTGGAGCGAATTCTAGATGATGAATCTCGAAATGATTCTGTTCGATCCAGGGGACTAGCTTAAACCTCTTGGCTGACTTCGGTTTTCCCGCCCTCTTGATGACTCTGTTTTTGACTGGCAAACGGGTTTCGAGGAGACGTCGTGTAGGAGCGGGCCACAGCTCTATCCAGCTCGAGATCTCGATTTTCCAGCGCCCCTGCTCGCAAGAGTGATACCACCTGCCTGCAAACTTCTTGAAAAAAAGCGCTTGTTCTCAAAAGGCAATCTGGGGCAAAACATCGCCAAGCATGCCCCTTGCCCCAATCGAATCTTCTCTTCAGGGTAACATTCCCCCCCCCCCAGATTAAACAAATCATTCCGCCCGGGAGTGTGGACCTGAGTCTGAAAATGTCGTACACTTTGGGGTTGGCAAAAGCTGAGGTAGCCCCAGGGCCATTTCACAGTGTTTGCGGTCCCTTGTGATGTGTTCAGGGAGTTCTGTTGCACCCATGTGCCGCTAGTCTGCCCATGTTTCCTGACCACTTGTTGTAGCTATATTCTGATTCAAAGCCGTAAGGGGAAACCTTAGTGCCCGTTGGCCACAAAGGACCAGCTGTGAACTTTGCGCGGCTTCCCTTGGACTCGGGTCGTTCGGGAGGAACTGCTAGAAGGCATGTGTCGAATGTCCCACACAAATGGTGCAGTGACCCGTTCGGGCGTTCCCATCGGGGACTTGTGCCACGTCCCGAAGCACCCTCCCCTTCGTCCCAAGCAATTCCCGGCAGGTCGCGCAAGCGCCAGGCGCGGGGGTGCACGAAGGAAATGCTCAGTGGTTGTCCTCTCAGCCAGGCAGCGGAAACAAGACCCAGGGGATTGGGGGATTATAGCTTTCTGTGGCGTCCTTTGTCATTTCTGAGGAACGCACCAAAGTTTCACAGGGGAAAAAGGAGAGCCGAAGTCAATTTGAGCTTTTGGGGTCCCCGAGTTGACAAGTCCAAGTCTCACTCAAAGTCCCGTCTTGATTGAACAGGAGTCCTGGGGTACCGCGAGTCTTTTTCCAGGGGAAGGCCCATAACACCGGGATGAGTCAGATTCGATGGCAACTTCAATTCTCTTTGCATTTGTCATGGTTTCAAGGGGATGACTAAAGCAAAATGGCCCCAAAACGGGTCCCGAAATCCCGACTCAGGTGATCCTCCGGGCCGTGAAGCGAAGGACGCACTGATGTCTCGGTCCTGTGACAGAACATGCCATGAGTGTCTGATTGTTTGGAGAGCTGAAATGATTTTTCACTTGGGGGGGCGTTTCCCTATTTTGACATACCCATATTGAGTGTGGCGCAAAATTGGGGGACCCGAGGAGCGCAGATGCCGTGCTGTTGTTGTCTTTGTAGCTTGCGACCTGGCGACGTGCAGCAATTCACCGCCTGGCCAGCTTTCGCGAGCCCAAAAGGACTTCCTGCACCGACTCCCAAGTGGAAATCTTTGAAAGTCGAAGCCTCCCTTTGGATTTTGGGAAAGAAAGCAAAGCGCCTGAAGTCCGTGCCAACCTCTCAGAATGAGGGGCCAGCAAGGCACCGTCGAATCCGGGAGGGTCGGACTCAATGCTAAGTTGCGCGGCGCAGGCAGAGTATGTCTCGGGGGCAGATGCCCTTTGCCAGCTGTGGCCACAAAACCACGTGCTGATGGCTCTCTTGTCGAGAGAACTCCCGAGTTGAGTGCGACCTGGCCATGCCCGCCTGGAAATACGCGCGTGGCAGGGGTGGCAGCCATAGGGACTGGCCCAGACTTTCGTTTGGGAAGGGCGCCCGAAAACGGGGACGTTCTGGGCAACGGGAGCTGCAGGAATCAATGCCTTGCTCGCTCTGGGCTCTGAGCTCTGGGCAAAACAACCAGACGCAGAGCAGCAAGCAATCACACAAAAGGTTTGCTTGGGCAAGAGGTACTGGCTTGAATGTTGATTCACATGTTGAAGATGAGCATCCAGGATAAATGTAAATGGAAGATGTCCTACACAAGGCTCAGCTGCTGCTGTGACATGTTAGACGCTAAATTGAAGCAGATGTGTTACAAGAAGGCTTCTGTCGTGTTCTCCAAATGGAAACCGGGCTTGTGCCCTCGCGGAAACGGGGGTTGTTCCTTTTCCAGGATTTCAGATTGTCGTTTTGGCCCTTGTTTCACAATTGACCCATGTGTTGCCGCCAAGCAAGAACGTCCTTCTGAACATGCAAGCAGCCAATGACAATAGAGCGATTGACATGGCGACAGCCACAAGGGCATGCCTTCTACACGTCAAACGGGGTCGCGGCTCGCTGGTATTTGCCATGGCCGACCGTGGGGCAGACAAGGTGTGGCAGGCAGACCGCAACGCCACACACTATGTTGTGTGTGTGTGTTGTTGTGTAGGAGTTTCCCATTTCACATAGAATCCAGGGGTTTCAAAGGGGATTCGGCATATTATGATATCAGGCACCTGTGTTCCAAAGTCAGGTACCAGAATGGCAAAGGCTTTGTTTTGCGGGACCTATCAGCATCTATTTCCAAAAGTTCAATTCGGCCCCAAAGTGGCAAGTGTCAATTGGGGAAAGTCGGGTATTCATTGCTCAAAGGCTTCGGCCCCAGGTGAGTGCTGTTTCTTTTCCATCAGGGGAGTCCATGTCTGTTGGGAAACAGCCATATTCATCCTTCACTGTCTCAAACGCCACATGGCTGAGTTGTTTCCGCTCGCGAAACTTTCTGCTGAGCTGCTGCACTTGCCGGACACGGCTTCCTGATGTCCCTGTTGCCAATTGACACAGAACCTGACAGGGGTCCCTTTAAGAGGAGAATGGTCTTCCAGGTTCTATGGTAATTGGTAGGAGGGTACATAGGCCAATAGTATCCGCCAAACATGGTGCCTTTTCGACCCCTTTCAGCGTACGTTCCTTCTCGGAAGTGGGCCGAAAGGCGCTTCGGTTGGTGGGAGGGTAAGTAGCGATAAAAAAGATTTGTTTCCTCTTCGAGGAGTCCCCTTGTAGGATGCTTGACAAGATCCAGTCTGTGCCACAGCACTGTTTTCCCAGACCCCAGGAACCAGTAAACAGGGACTGCGATGATGATGGTAATGGAGCGGGCGCGGTCACTTTGCAAAAGGTCCGGAAGCGGCTGGAGATGAGCTGTTTCGACTGTTCTGCTCTGGTAAGTGCCGCGCGCGCCGTGGGGAACTGGCTTTGGACGGGGTCTGGGAGCGACGACGCAGGGCCGACAGTGGTTGCGTCGCCGCCATGGCAACGCTCCAGCCGGTGCTGTGCATGTTTTGAGGGTTTGTCGGTTTGTCACGCAGCTGAGGGGATGTATCATGGGCTTTTTTGGACGGGGTCTCTGTGACTCTTCTGCAGCCGGCCATAGTTCCATCGGACGCACAGCGGTCATGGGGAAACTATGTGAACGAGGTCGCGCTGTGACTCCTGACTCCTAATGGTGACCTGGTGGGCGTCGTGTCGCTGTGCGGAAGTGGCTCTGGACGGGAGATGCGATGACGGCGAACGCGACGTCGACGGTCGTGTTGCTTGCTGGGCTGCGTCGTGGATGCGCCGTGGGTCTCCCAGTGTGTGTCTTCATTTGTCTCCAAGTGCTGCCAGATCGCCGGGCCGCATGCTCGCCAGTGTGCGCATTTATTTGTCTCCAAGTATGTGTTTTCATTCAGCTGCCGGATCGCCGGGCCGCATGCTCGGCAGCATTTACTTGTCTCCCAGTGCTTAGTGCTGCCAGATCGCCGGGCCTGCTCGCCAGTGAGCGCATCTACTTGTCTCCCAGTGTGTGCCTTCACATGTCTCCCAGTACTGCCAAATTGCTGGGCGCACGCTCGCCAGTGCGCGCATTTACTTGTCTACCAGCATGTGCCTTCATGTGCCCCCCAAGCTCGCCAGTGCGCGCATGTACTTGTCTCCCAGCACGCGCCTTCATTTGTCTCCCAGTCCTGCCAGATCGCCGGGCCAGTTTGCGCATCTACTTTTCTCCCAGCGCGCGCCGCCACTTTTCTTGCAGCGCTGCCAAATTGACGGGCGCATGCTTGAAAGTGTGCGCATTTACTGCTTTCCCAGCCTGTGCCTTCATTTCTCTTCCAGTGCTGCCAGATTGCCGGGCCGCATGCTCGCCAGTGTGGGTTTGCACTTGTCTCCTCATTTGCTGCCAAATTGCTGGCCACATGCTCGCCAGTGTGCGCAATTACTTGCCTCCCACTTTGTTCATCTCTCTCCCAGATCGCCGGGCCGCGTGTTCCCCTAGCAGTGTGCGCAATTACTTGCCTGGCAGTAAGTTCCTCGGGCCGCATGCTCGCCAGTGCCAGGGTGCGCATGTACTTGTCTCCCAGCACGTGCCTTTATTTGTCTTGCTGCCAGATCGCTGGGCCACAGCTCACCAGCGCGTGCATGTGCTTGTCTCCCAGCACGTATGGCGCGTATATGTGTTCTTTGTTGGCGCACAGGCATTCTCACTGTCGGCGTACAAGAGTGTTCCTTGTTGGCGCAGAAGCGTGTCCATTGTCGGCGCACAAAAGGGCCCTTTGTCGGCGCACAGCTGTGTTCACTGTCGGCGCACAAGACTGTCCCTTGTTGGCGCATCATCATACCCAGCGTCGGCGCACACAAACACCCCCGACTGGCACGCAAGCTTGTTCGCTGTTGCCGCACAAGAGTGTTACTCTTTGGCACATCATCGTATCCAGTGTCGGCGCAGAAGGTGTTCGTTGCACGCGCAAAAGTGTTCTTTGCTGGCGAGTGCACAGATGGCAACGGTCATGGGGAGACGGTTGTGGAAGTGGCTTTGAACAGGAGCTGCGACGACAGTAGGCTGACAGGGGCAGGCTGCTCTGCAGCGGCATCGCGTCCGTGCCGCACGGGCCCGCGACAAACACGACCGTCCGACGGTCGTGTTGCTTGCTAACCTGGACTGTGGTGACGCGCTGGCGAGGCTTCTTTGTGGCCGCGGTCGTGCCCAAAACACGCCCAAACGTACAACTACAAGCAGGTGATGCAGGCCCAGCGCCAAAGTTCAGCAGAGGCTCGCGCAGCCGTCCCCGGCAAAGGGACAGTCCCAAACATAAAGAGGGGCGTGGCCCCCTTTCATTCCTTACACGGTTTTGGGCACAGCCAGTTAGTACCAGGTTTTCATTCTGACTCACGCGCGGGCTCGGACATTCAAGCCAGCAGCTTTGCTGTAAACGCGGCTTTGGGCGCAGAGACGCGCTTTCGCGAGCAGCGTTGTGTGACAGGTTCGCAAGGATGGGTCCTTGCATTATACCTTCACACTGCGCAGGCGTCAGCCATTTCACTTCGGCTTTGCTTGCGTAGCTTGCGCTCGGACCAGGGGTGAAGGATCTAACACAGCCGCTCGCCACTCTTCAGGCCGTGGCCGGATTTATGTTGCAGGCGCACAACCGGCTGCAGCAGCACTGCGACGCAGGACTTCATAGTTCCTGCTCTTTAAGTGTTCGAACTGTGCGTAAGACAATCCAAACCAAACAGTCAGCGCTTTTGTAAGCGAGCCTGCTTCAACAAGCTGATCCGCAAGACGCACGGCGTGTGAGTGGTTTCCCATCCACCGCAGTCTGATTTCTCAGTCTTTCAGAAAGGTTCCATTCTTATGGATGATTGCGTTCTCTTCATGGTTCTAGTGTTGTACCTGTTTCCTTGCAAAGTTTGAAAGAGTGCCTCTGAAGCTTGGCCACATTGTGTTCACACCAACAGCACGCAAGCCCACCCAACCATACAGAGAACAACACAAAACAGCTGCAGGTTCAACGCATGTATTTTGTCTATGGATGTTGCTTCGCGCATGACGCACACATTTTGGCTCGCAGGAGAAGTCAGCAGTTCAATCTTTGGTAGCACACCATGCTGCAGCCATGCAGCCAGAGTTTCGGGAGCATTCCCGCTCACATCACGACAGTGATCGATGCCTTTAAGCCTTTCGGCCAGCAGCCGCCCGGCCGCCGGCTGACTCTGCTTGCGGCACACATTTTATTGCAACGGCTCGGACAGACACCGGCCTTGATGGAACAGGCGGTAGCTGCTGCATTGGAAGCGGCAGCTTTGTCTTGGCAATTGGAGGCAAAGCCGGGTCAAGCAACGGTTCAACGCTGCCAGGAGTTCGATGCAGCTGCAGTTCATTTGACGAGTTTGCAGTGAGCAAATTCACTGACATCCGCGCAGTCAGCCACATTGTGCGATTACCATCGACAGCGCCA